AGCAGGTCATTTCCTAGGCAGTAGGTATGCTGGACATTTTTCCTCCCTAGGTGCAGCACTTTGCATTTCTCCTTGTTGAACTGCATTCTGTTGTTTTCTGCCCACTTGTCCAACCTGTCCAGGTATGCTTGCAGCTGTTCCCTGCCCTCCGGCATGTCTACTTCTCCCTACATTTTTGTGTCATCTGCAAACTTGGACAGAGTACACTTCACTTCCTCGTCCAAGTTGCTGATGAAGACATTGAAGAGTATCGGTCCTAGGACCGAGCCCTGCGGGACTCCACTGCCCACACCCTTCCAGGTCAATACCGATACTCTCAAGCTTCTCCACATCCGTTCTAAAGTATGGAGCCCAGAATTGGGTACAGTACTCCAGCTGTGGCCTGCCAAGGCAGAGTAAAGCAGAAGGATGACTTCTTGGCTTTTGCTTGAGATGTATGGGTAGAGTTTTATTTGCTTTGCTGACTGTGGCATTGCCTTGGATTGGTGGCTCATGTTCATCTTGTGATCAATCATGACCCCCAAGTCTCTTTCAGTCATGGTCCTAGTGAGTGTAGCACTGCCAAGCCCGTAAGTCTGATGTGGGTTCTTTCTCCTGGTGCAGATCCTTGCATTTCTCTATGTTGAATATCATCAGGTTTTGATCCGCCTACTTTTTGAGCCTGTCCAGGTCAGCCTGAATTGCTAGCCTATCCTCTAGTGTGACCGTACTTCCCCGTAATTTGGTGTTGTCTGTGAATTTAGCCAGTCCTACTCTGACACCTGAATCCAGATAATTTATGAATATATTAAAGAGTACTGGTTCAAGTTCTGAACCCTGTGGGAGGCCACTGGTCACCGTGCGCCATGTTGATTCAGTTCCATTGACTATCACTCTCTGGGTCTGACTATGGAGCCAGTTCCCCAGCCATTGGACTGTAATGTTGTCAAGGCCACAGGTCCTCAGTTTTACCACGAAGACATCATGGGAGACCAAGTCAAAGGCTTTTTTGAAATCCAAGTAACCTCTTTTCCCTTGTCCAGGTGATGCGTCACCTGGTCATAGAAGGAAATGAGGTTGGTCAGGCAAGACCTACCTGCAGTGAAGCCATGTTGGCTATCTCTCAGAATGTTGCCTTCTGTTAGCTGTTGTTGATGGATTCTTTGATGATTTTTTCCAAGATCTTTCCAGGGATTGAGGTCAAACTGATTGGCCTATAGTTCACTGGATCTTCCTTCCTTCCTTTCTTGAAGATAGGCACCACATTGGTCCTCTTCCTATCTTCTGGAACCTCTCCTGAGTGCCACGATTTCTAAAATATCCTTGCCATTGGTTGTGCTATGATGTCAGCCAATTTCTTTAGGACCGTTGAAATCTTAAAATTGGCCATAATTACAGAAACTAAATGTTTAGAATGTTCTTTATGAAATAGATACATTTTCCTTTCAGTGATGTGTTTGAAATGAGAGAAGTTTTCATTCAGCCCCAATATAAACGTATAGGTTTAAATTATGTGGTAAGCCAAGGTTCTTTGGGTAGATGTGATATCTTTTATTAGACCAACTAAATAGTTGGGAAAAAATGTTCTTTGCAAGCTTTCAGGCACAAGCACCCTTCTTCAGGCATTGGGAGAGTCCCTTGGTGTTTGCCTGCTGTCCTGGGTAGAATAGAAGCCAATATGAAAAATGCAGGTCTGTGAAAATGCAAATGTGTGGCAGTGAGGATCTGAGGGAGTGGGACACAATAGGTAAGAGAGGGGAAGGGTGGTGGGAAAGAGGAATGTAGGTGATAGAATGTAGCTGGTGAAATGCAGACAGGTTACCTGTGGTTATTGGGTAGCAGTCAAGTTATGATCTACCATAAATCCAATGTCTATATTTAGTCCATGTTTTTTTGTATCCAGTAGATTTATGAAGTGAAGTTTGTAAGGTTGTTTATGACAGGTGTTTTGTAAATTCCTTTTGAGGATTAGAACTGAGATATTGGAGAGAGAGTGGTTATCTTGTAAAAAGTGTGCACCCACAGGTACTTGGATATTTTTGTCTTCGATAGATTTTCAATGTGCATTCAGTCTGGTACGTAGTTGTTGTTTGGTTTCTCCTGCGTATTTTCCATTAGGGCATTTGGTGCACTGGATGAGCTATATATTACATTTCTGGAGGTGCAGGTGTAAGATCCAGGAATGGTGACGATTCTGTTGTGGGATGTTATTGTGGAAGTGGTGGAGATGTATTGGCAGGTTTTACATTTTTTGTCCCGGCATGGTCTGAATCCATTTGGTGTGCTTTGGGCCATAAGACGTTTGCTTCTGGTGATGAGGTTGGTGAGGTTCAGTGCTTGTTTAAAGGGTAGGATGGGTGGGTCTGAAAAGATGTCTTTG